AAGGAGTCTATCTGTACACATGTCCTGTTTATTGCTCAAGGGATACGTCACAGGGTGCACACACACTCTGCAGTGGCCTTGTGCAGAGGCTTACGTATGAAATAATCATTCCATGCTCACGGTAAATAAAGTTTCGAGATAGAAACCCTCAAAATTATCTTGGCCCTGAAAAGAAACTAAGACAGCTCATTAGAAGTTGAATTATGTCCCTTATAAAAGTGGCCTCAACTGGACCATTATCACAGACCCTGATCCAATATGACTGTGTCCTTATGAAAAGGGGACATTGGGACACAGGTACACAGGGAGAGCACCATGTGAGATGTAGGCAGAGGTGCAGTAATACTTCTACAAGCCAAAGAATACAAGATTGATGGAAACCTCCAGAAGCTGGAGAGAGGCCTGGGGCAGATTCTCCCTTCCAGCCTCAGAGGATATCAACCTTGCCCACACCTTGATCTGTAGTTTAAGCCATCTAGATTGTGCTATTTTTTTTTATAGCAAACTAATACCCAGCAACATTGGGCATTTTGTCCTATGCATTAAATAAGAGAGAGAAATAAATCTCTCATGTTTGCATGTTTTTTTTTTTTTCATACTTTAAGTCTGCTAAAATCTATAGTGTAGATGGGACCTCAAGGATGGGCTGGTGTCTGCTATGGCTTTGTGCAGCTGTAGACCCAGATCCTTTGGGGAAGTGAGTTCTCATAGGGAACATCAAAATGATCATTAATGGTTATAGATAACAAGAAAAAGAATCTCTGAAAACTTCAGGGCACCAGAGCCAAGTACTTGGCTCTGTGCAAGGTTGTTGGAGGTGTAACATTGAGAGTGTCCCTTTGTTGTCCTGACCCACCCTGACAAAGGATCTTGCTCAGAATGGGGACCTCAATGACAGCCACTTCAAGCTCTGTGGGAGCCTCAGTCTCTGAGTTCAGGGTAGAGGCCCTTCCTTTACACCCTGAGGGGAGTCTGATAGGGTGTGCTGGGGCCCTGTTACCTCCTGGCCAGACGACCCTGATGATGGCAGGATCTGTGTGCTGAGGAAGCCCCTATCCTGCCGAGCTCAGGGATCAGGAAATGAAAGCACGAAAAGACACCAAACACTCTCCTTCAGGCCCTGAAGAACTGAGAAGGAAGGGGTTTGCCTAAGACCACCTGGCCAGGCATGACAGGGGCATGCCAATCCTGTCCTGCAAGGTCCTGCACCCTCTCTAAGGCTGGGTCCAAGCTACCTGTGTCCAGGATCTGGCTCCTGGGCCCCACCCCAACCTTAGAGCCCATGTGATCCCAGCACTCTCCCTCACATGTGGTCCCTGCTCCCTCCACCAGCAGGTGCCTTCCTCTCTCACCCTATACTCCCTGCAGGAAGGGGTTTCTAGGGCATTCCTTCCCTCATACACACTTAGCTCACTGTCAGTCATCTGCCCCAAGATGGTGGCAGCAGAAGCCTTATTGCACATCAGTGCCTGACATGCAGTCGGCCCCGTACCTGCAGCAGATGTGAACACTGCCAGCCAAGGTCAGGGCCAGGGGCAGAGACTCCCCAAACATTCCATTGAGACAGAAGCTCCTTGTCCATGGTGAGGCTGGGCAGGTCAGAATACCCAAATGGCCCAACAGGGCTGGAATAAGGGTGTTGGTGGACCTGGAGTCAGAGCTGTCCTGGCAGTAGCCCCTCAGTCCAGCTGCCTGAGGGAGTTGATGGGGGCCCCTCTCTAGCAGGCTTTGCCCTTGATGGATAAGACTGCCACTGCTTCACTCCCTGGAAAAGCCCACAGTGTTGGGGTACTAGTTCCAGGTCCCAGACCTACCCCTGCCAAGAAGGAACAGGTAGACCCCTCAGTCATTCCCCATGAGGCTGCCACTGCACAGAGAGCAAGCTCAGGCCAATGGAAGGGCATCCAGAACTTTCTAGTGTCCCAGAGGCTCAGAAGCTCAGCTGGAGCCAAGGTCAAGCCCCACCCCCAGCTCTCCCCCTAGACAGCCTGAGTATCCTAGCCTTTCCTGTCCTGGATCCCATCTCCATCTCCTCTGACTTCCTATCACTGCAGGGGCAGGTGGTCATACTGGGTCAGGGGATCATGAACCTGCACCTCCTGGGAGGTGGTGGCCATAGATCTCAAACCTACTGGTCACCTAGGATGCATGTGGCCAGTTGGTAAAGAAGCCTCTTTCCAGGCAGCAAGCTCCAGACCTAGGTGGGGAGGAAAGGCTGCTGAGGACCCTGGGATCCTGGCCTTTGGCTCAGCTCTGCCCTCTCCAGTCCCAGGAGTAGGGCTTTTTGGTGGTTGATCCTCAGCTGGGCACTGGAGAGGGAGCCCAGCATGTAGCAGGGGCCTGGTGGGGAAAGCACTGGTGGGCAGCATTACCCTAATCACTGACATGGGCCAATAAAAACAGAAGACACTGGCTCAGAACTCTCAAAACTTTGCTTCAATGTGAGATAGAACGTCTTTGTTGCAGAAAGAACTAGAACATTTTAGGGCCTATTTGCTGAGCGGATGAGCCTCTGGTGCATCTATGGTCACTGGCTTAGCATTCCTTTGGTGTGAGAGGAGGGGAGAAGATGGGACCTGCTGCCAGCTGAGCTCTTGCTACAAGCCAGCCTGCCTGGGCCAGGATGGCCAGCCCAGTTCCTTAGGACCCCTCAACTGAGCCCCAGGAATCTTCTGAGGCCCAGAACCCACTGCCAAGCCCCTCAGCCTGCCCATGTTCCCCCTTCCCTCCTCCCACACCTCTGCAGTGCTGCATGCAGACACACAGTACCCCCAGGCTGCCCTCTGCTCCCTAGCATCTTACATTTGTTCTACTTCAGCAGGGCTCAAATGAGTACATGCTTCACTGTCTCAATTAGCAGCTTCCTTGGACCACTCCACCCCTGTGGAGGTACCATATGTCAGTGTCATGAATAGACACAAGGCTGGGGGCTGGGAATTGGCAGCTCTCAATCACTTGCTGAGTAGACCAGGGTGGGATCATCTACTGCACCAGAGGGGGTGCTGGGGCTACACCATGGGCAAAGCCATGGGTAGGGCTTGTGAGGGTGTGGTCATTGGTACTCATCTGGGGGACACCTATCAGGCACCCAGAGCACATGAGTGTTGCTTGCCAAATAGACAAGAGCTAGCCTGGCAGTTGGTCTCTGCCCATCTGCCTGAGCATCTGTCCCTTCTCAGCACTGCTCTGTTCCCCTCTTTCAGCCAGGACTCATTTGGGCAGGTGACTAAGGAATTAATGAGGTAGCAGAGACCAGAGCGCATGCCAAGTGCTCCTGGTTCCAGTAGAGGGAGCAGTGAGGCCTCCTTCTTGGCCCTGCTGGAGGCTGATTCCAGATCCAATTGATGCTCCAGTTGATTGGCTTTCTCTTTCTAGGAGCATGACAGGTCCTGCCTGACATTTCCCCAGATATTTAATAGATACCCAAGTAATTTGTCCTGGAGACAAATTACCAGTGGGTTGCCTAAGCCTTTAGCATTTGTGCCCCAGAAATGAGATTGGCAAGTTAATAATGTGGCCCTAATCACACTGTTCCCTGCTGGCATTGGAAGAGAATTACTAGGAGATGGAACACGGTACTGGTGGGAGGAGACGGTGCCTTACTAGGGCTTTGGAATAAAGCTTCATGAGTCCCCTGAGCTTCTACACTTCTGCAGAATGCCCCAGCCTCAGTTTCCCCTGGTGTTTTTCCTCTGGCAACAGAGCCTTGATTTTACACTGAGAAACCGCATCTCAATGGGTGGGTAGAGGCTGGCTCTGCCCCTGACTCTGGCCCCAAGCCACAGTGACATGTGCACTATCTGTGGCTTTAGCTGGAGCCACTCAGCTAGAACATCCCCATGCGTGGGGTCCCTAGATGCAGGAAGGAGGAAATATGGAGTTGCTGCTGAGCCCCCATGGGGCAGGGCTGGTGCAGAGCCAAGAGGCAGCCAGGCCCTGCAGGGTCTGGCTCACCCTGGAGTCAACGCACAGGAGTCAATTTTGCTTCAGGTAGTTTCTGTCACACGTGACCTGGAGTTCTGATCACACACAGGATGACTTGGCTTGTACACCTGCACACTCTTGCTCAAGGATTCACCCACATGAGAGCCCGTGAGGAGTCCCCAGGGAGGATGACAACCTGGTCAAAGGCTAGGCCTGGAGCAGAGTTGCTTGAGGATGGCTCCATTCTGTGTTCAGGGGTCCACTGCCCATGCTAGAGGCCATGGACAGGGGAAGCTAACAGAAACTGATAATTAGTGAAACTGCAGGAGGTTCCACAGCACCTCGCAGCCCAGGCAACAGCCCAGCCCAGTGGTGCCATTGTTTGGACCTTGAGTGTCCCTGAGAGGCCCATGTGTTAGGCTTGGTCCCCAGCCCATGACCCTATCCAGAGGTGGTAGAACCTGTAGAAAGTGGGCCTAGTGGGCAGTCCTAGGTTGCTAGGGGTGTGCTCTCCAGGAGGGAGTGGGCCCCTGGTCTCTTCCTGTTTTTTCTTTCTGTCTACCATGAGGTGAGCAGTGTCATTCTTGCCATGATGTGCTGACCTGCCACAGGCCCAAAAGTAATGGGAACAGATGATCATGAACTGAAACCTCTGGAAACATGAACCTTCCCTCTTTTTAAGGTGATTTTCTCAGTTATTATTTCACAATAACAGAAAGCTGCCTAGCACAGGTGGCCTCAACCCACATAGAACTGTGGGCCCAGAGTTAGGAACCAGCAGGCCCTCCAGGCAGCTGGATTTTCAACATGCAACTGTGCAGTTCATATCAAGGCTGTTGATAGACACCTGAAGTCATGTGTCCATGTGCTTTAGGAACTCATGGAAGTTAACAAAATAGCTCCACTTCCAGGTTTTCCTGCTGGAAGATCAGGCCTGGGGTGCTGGCTCTGAGGCAGATCATGGTGGGCTGGCACTCTTACCACTCAGGATAAAACCAGAGAGCTGTCCAAAATATAGGGCTGTGCGAGATGTGGGAAGGAGGGCATGCCACCCAGAAGCTGGTGGAAGAACTTACCAGGCTGGAGTGGAGAGAAGTCCCTTCTGGTGCAGCAGGTGTGAAGGTGACCAAGACATATGGGTGCCTGAGGACAAATGGCTCTGTGTTGCTTATCTTTTGCTGTGTAATAAGTTATCCCAGAACAAAGGTTTACTATTGCACAGTTTTGGGGGGACAGAAGCAGAATGGTGGAGGATTCTGGCTCCGGGTGTCATGGGGTTGCTTGCAGTCAAGAGGATGGCCAGGGCACAGTCCTCCCAAGTCTTGATGGGGGCTGAAAGACCACTTCCAAAACAGTATCCTAGCATGGCTAATGGCAGGATGCTTACAATCCTAGCCAAGTGGACCCATTCACAGAGTGGCTCATGGTGGGGCAGGGGACCTCCCTCAAAGAAAATGAAAAGAGCAAGAGAAGAAGTCAGAGAGGAAGAGGGGAGAGACAGAAAAAGGTAGAGGTAGCTAAAGACAGGGAGAAGGAGAGAGAAAGAGGGAGAGAAAGAAAGAAAGAAAGTAAAAGAGGAGAGGGAGAGAGAGAAAAGCAGAGAGGAAGAGGAAAGTTGGGGAGAAAAAGAGAGGCAGAAATGGAGACAGGGAGAGAATGGAAGAGGGAAATAAAGAGGAGAGAGACAGACGGAGAGAGATAGATAGGGAGAGAGAGAGAGAGAGAGAGAGAGAGAGAGAGAGAAAATATGACCACCAACAAGACAAGAGATACAGTGTGCTGTGTAACCTAAACCTGGAGCCAGGGAGAGAGCCATGGCTTCTGCCATCCTCTGTTAGTCATACAGACACACACTGTGTCATGCAGAAGGACAGGGACACAAGTTCCTGAAGGGCAGATCACTGGGCCATCTTGGAGGGTGGCTATCACAGGCTCCAGGAAAAAAATAAGCGCATAGATGGCCTGATATTTTCAGTACAAAAAATGATTCATATTCCATGGCAGGGTTTGGGGATAAATAAGTAACGTACACAGAGAATAACACCCCCCCAATTATTAAGGAAAAAAAAGAAGTTGTACAGAGATTAATTACAACGTATTACTCAGCAGTGACCAATGTATGCAAAGAAACATCTCCTACACACTGAATCCTGATTCATGAGGATGGGAGGAATCAGGAAGACTGTACTGTGTATGTGCACACATGTGTGTGCATCTGGCCTCCATGAGAGAACAAACTTTGACCCTCCATAGCAGGATATTGATGGGTAATTTATAAATCTGAAAAGAAAAGGAAAAAGCAGAAGCAACATTGCTACTGAGAAGTAAATATTAAAAGAACCAGTCTAAATACCAGGAGGAGGATGGAGAAAGTAGGGAGCTACAGAAGAGGAGATGGGTTCCATCCCAAGCACTACAGAACTATCTGATCATCCAAACTGTGCACATTTATCACTTTGTTTAGAACAAAACACAAAGGAAATTTAAATCACCAAAAACAAAACCCAAAGCACCCAAGCTGCCTTCCATGCCCAGCTCCCCGCAGCCTGGGCAGGAGTGCAGACAGCCAGGCCTTTTCCTGGGTCTGAGCTCCCCAGTGTCCTCCTTCCCCTCCTGCAGGTGCCCTTGGTCTCTCTGCTCTGTCCTGGCCCTCAACTTGCTCCCCAGGCCTGCCACTATCTAGGCTGCCCTCTGCAAGGTGGGGAGGAGCCTAAGAAAGGGAGGAAGCCAGCTAGGCAAGCAGGACCTCACCACCAGCCCACACTGGCCTCTGGTATCAGAAGCTGAGGGGCTTGGTCCCCTGGCTGGGAGGCAGGGAGCAGGCTGTGCCATCCTTCCACACTCCTCGCCCACCACCCACCTGCCACTCACCCACATGCCAGTGCAGCCACCTCTGCTGTCATTAGTAATTGACAAAACTCCACCAGGTGCCTGGCCAGGGGAGTGCAGTGGGAACCACTGGGCTGCTTGGGTTGCTGCTGGTGCAGGTGGGCCAGGTCAGTGAGCCCACATCCTACACAGGCCCCTGGTGGTGCCCCAAGTTCCTCACCTTTCTGAGGGACTAGAGAATGGGCTTCCTTGGGCAAGAGAGAGGTGTCTGCAGTGGGGGCACTGTGCCTGGAGGGGAAAGTGGAGACACACCCTCCTGCCCCCCAAACACACAGCTTATTCTGGAGATACTGATCCTACCATCCCACTGATGGGGAAAGAGGCACATAGAGGTGAAGTAACTTATCCCAGCACACAGAGCAGAAGCCTGAATTATAACCTGCACACAGCTGTCCCTACCAGGACACAGAGCTCCAAGAAAAGCCCTTCAGGCACTCTTCTGGGGGAGTGTGCTAGGGATATAAGGGGAAGATTCATTCCCTGCAGCCTGAGCTGGCTCAGAGGCCCTGCAGGGTTGGCTCCAGGAGGCCCATGGCTCTAGTGAGATGTTGAGGAAGAGGCCAAGGGGCCCAGCTTGACCCTCTCAAGCAGCCCAGTGTCTGGGGGTGGGGTAGACTGAAACTGGCCTTGGACAGATCATACAGGCCACTCCAGCCCTGGCTGGAGTTCCTGAGGTCATAGGAGAGCCCTGAGGGGTTTTAGGTGAAACCCTGGAGCCAGCTAATCCACTGCTGGAAGCCACTCCCTCTGGGTTTCTAGGCAGGTTGGGGTGGGGGGCTGGGAAGAAGCACAGAGGCCAGCAGGTGAACTGGAAAGTCTATTTAGTTTGACTTGATTTATTAAGAGGTTCAATAATATTCCTAGCCCCTACAACCTGTGGTACACTTAGTTCATGGTGGCCTATAAGGCTGTGCAGGAAAAAACTGAGACTCTTGAGCGCTGCTCCCACAGCCCCAGGAGAAGTGTCTGCCCTACAGTCCCCATCTGTGGCCTGGTGGCTAGACAGTCAACACCTTTGGCCTCTGTGGGCCCTGCTTCTCCAAACAGCCTTCCTCACTGTTGGTCACCATGTTTCAGGCCTGAGCCAATCCTTAGATTCCTCCCCTCCTGGAGTCTTTTCAGTCCCAGGGAAGGTGGGGCAGGAATCATTCCCACCTGATGTCTGAGTTGTGCCCATTTTATTAGAGAGAGGCGATCAGATCCCAGCCAGCTATTCTCAGCTTCAATCCTGTGCTTCCAATTTCCCTGACCCATAGTCCTGATGGAGGTCTGTCCAAATCTGGAAGAAGTTAGGAGGGCAGCTTCTGGGGCCACCTGCAAGCTTTCCAGTCTGGGCTTCTATGGCAGTGCCAGTGTGTGTGTGTGTGAAGTTTGTGTGGGGTGTGGTGGGCAGCTGGCCAGGGTTGTGCCTCCTGGGGACCCTGATAGCCGGGGCACTCTGGCAGGGGTCTTGGGCACCAGCTCCAGCCCACCCCAGCAGGTGGGTGGAATGAGGTGGCAGCTTTCTCATGAGAACCCGGAGGGGAGACAGACAGGACTCTGGACACTGCTGGTGTCTTTTGCAACTAGTTGCTCCCTGCTCAGGTCCCCTGGAGCCCCTATATTTCCCCATCTGGCTCTGCTCCCTCTGCTGCCAACTTAGGTGCCCTCTCTCCTTAAGGGACAGGCAAATGTCTCCCATCCCTAGTGGAAAGGGGTGCTCAAAGGTGTGTCTACTCCTGAGCTTGGGTGAGAATGCCACCTTTTCCCTAGCTCTCCATGTGTGCAGTGCCTGCCCAAGCCTGTGGCAGTCATGTGTCCCCTGGAGAGCTTTGCTCAGGTCTGCCTGGGGAAGTGACATAAAATTTTAGGGGAACAGCTTGGGGTGCTTCCACTATAGTCCTGTTCTCTTCACACCCTTGAAAGAATTCCACCAGGGGGCCTGGCTAGGAAGCTGACCCATGCACAGGTGCTCAGTGGGCAGTTGCAAGCCCTCTGCCCACCATCTTGTTCCTGGCCCAGCCTGGGACTAGACTCCTGCTCATCCACAGTTCACTTACTGTGAATTTCCTGCATGTCTAAGAGACTTCATCGGTATTTGCACATATAATGCCCACCAAACCTGCTGAGGAAAACAGGTTCTAAGTGAGAGCTGGTGGTCAGCTTTCTCAGAGGCTTCTGTAGACCCACCCCAAGGGGGTCCTCAACACTCAGTACACACTGGCTTGATTGAGGGGCCTGGCATCTGGGCTGCTTCTAGTCAGGATATGTTGGGCTGTCTCTCAGGTCAGCAGGAACCCATCACTCCAAGCATGTGGCCGAGTCTCTTTCCCTGCTGCCTTTCTGTTTGGTCTATAGCCCAGCTGCACTAGGGTAATGTGACATGTTTCTGAGAGACCCAAGGAAATATGCATAGATGGCATGCAAGATATTGGTGTACTTTTTATTTTGGTACCAGGACTTGGACACATGGATGTTTAACCACTGAATCACATACCCAGACCTTTTTTTATATTTTATTTAGAGATAGGGCCTTGCTAAGTTGCTGAGGCTGGCTTTGAACTCACAATCCTTCTCTTCAGCCTCCTGAGCCTCTACGATCACAGGTGTTTGCAACCATGACAGTGACATTGGTGTATTGAAAGCTAATCATGGAGAAGGCCCACTCTTCCGTGAAATTGCCTGTTTTATTTTTTGTGATGGTAATTTTTTATTGTTTATGATGACACTGTCAGTAATTATAGCCACAAAATTTTATGTTGACATAACACTGCTCAATCCATTCACCAGGCTGTGCTACCACCAACAATATGTAGGTAAAGATGGAGCCCCCATAGAGAACATGAGTCCTTTGGGGGTTGTCACCTACAGGCCATCCTGGAGGAGGTGAAATAGAGGCCCCTGTGTATGGGGAAGAGGTAACTGCCTAAAATGTGGTGAGCATTTCAGGCCATTATATGTCTTATGTGATCTGTGATATTCACTATTTTAATTGTCATGTGGTACTATAAATCCTGTTCATATAAGATAGCAAAATTAATATGTGTGTTATTATTGCTCTATGGATTATATCTCACAATCCTCTTATTCCCTAAGACACAATATTGAAGTTAGAACAGTTAATAACTCAGTAATGGCCTATACTGTTTAAATAAAAGGAAGAGTCTCATGTTTTGCACTCTAAATAAAAATCTGTAACTCTTGCACTGGTTAATCACACTAAGGATACAAAGGAAATGTTCTTGAAGGAAATTAAGGTGCTGCTGCAGGGCATA